AATTACGACAAAATTCAAGTAATGAATAAAAGTGAGTCGTTTACTAACATTATTATATTATTTTCTCTTATAGGGCGCAGACCACTGTCAAAGCCACTGTCAAGACCACGATAGATATGAAGGAGGAACTTAGGAAGGAACGTTATAGATTCAAATACAATCCTCATAAAGGCTATGAGCCATACTGGGTGGGCGGCGACTACGTACTAACCACTACCACGCCTAAGCCGGGCACCACCGTGACGGAAGCGCCGAGAGTGTGTTTATACGACTGCAACTTTGTATATCAGAAGTATGTTATTTTGCGCCACTTTCTATTTAGCCTATTTATATTAACGACTACCCATCTCTTGGTAACTATACTTGGCATTTTAATTAGATTCCTGATTTGACAATTTCAGTGTTGCAACGTTATGACAAGTATCTACTAAATAGTGACGTTGCAAAATTATTCGATATGGAAATCAAATATTTCCGAATCGATTACTCTCGTTTATAAATTTACTCTCGTAAACTAAGTTTATCAGGAAATTAAATATTACTGAACCGATAATTTAGTTTTGACAATTAATTAACGATCTGATATTTTTCTTTTATCATTGTAGATGAAATTAATAAAAAAATATGGTAATCATTTATTTTATAAATTGTCGCCGTCATCGCTATCGCTAGTACTTTCTGTAACACTTATTATGAATTATGTCTGTGATATTTATTGTCAATTAATATATCTAGCTTAGCAATTTTTTCCTTTTCTTTGACAACATGGGATACGCATTTAGACCATTCGGTAGCCGTAATTGTTTTAATGCCTTCCTGTAACCAATTCACTAATAGTTTATCGATTTTTGTGTTCATCACTACACTGTTATATGTGGTGTCATTATTTCACAAAATGACAGTGGTTAATTTTAAATCTGGAATCGAATTAAAATTCTGACTATAGTGAAACAACTATCATATGTTTAACGTGAAATCTCAAAACAGTACAGTCGACCGCACATCGATAGAATCACTTCGGCATTGAAATGTTTTAAAGTTGAACATGCGAAATAAAAGAGATAGTTATATTTCTCAATGTTCTGTGTTGTTGTTAATTTGTTGTGCAAGGCTTGGTCTGTGCATGAGCGCGCGTCGTTATCCTACCGCACGTTAAATCACAGCATAGCTTATTAATTTGTTAAAAATTTAAGTTTTCACTCTTCGTTGTTTTAAACTCAACAAATTTTCTTGTGAACGAAACAATTTCTTTCTCTATGTGGTCTAGAAGTCGTTGCCATGGGCGATATGTATGAGTGCATAAAAATATTTTTTTGTATAATGTTACCCCACCCCAAGCAACGTGGTTTGGCATGTGTGATTTTGATAATGCGCATCGTCCAAATCAATCAAATCAAATCAAAATAATTTATTCCAACTAAACCATAAATAGGTACTTTTGAAACGTCAAAATAGAATAGTAGTCTGTCAGTCTGTTCGTCAGTGAAGCTAGGTGCTCGTTCCAAATTGTAGTTTCGAATGGAGAAGAACGAGAAAGAAACTCAATCGTTACTCTTTTCAAAAAAATATTTGTTTTACAATTCACCAATAATACATTTTTATACATTACTGTACCCCTATGTAGGATGTAAGAACAATGCAGAGACAAGTTGTTAATAAAAAGGAACAAATGATGGTCTGTCTAATCTATCATTAAAATTTTAATCCTTCGTTGTCTCGAACATGGCGCTCACATATGCGTACTCACAATCCAAAAGAATGCTTCTATATAAACTCATTCAAGGTTTCATTAATTTTGAGAATTTTAATAACTACTGACTACATATTTGAGTATTGTCCAGTGGAGCCGAACCACCATGCTGCCAGGCATTCTATATACTCAATATAATCTGAAAGTTTGTAGTATGCCTGTCTACATAATTCGCGTTTAATATAAGTTTTAAATTTTCGTTCATTAAGATTTAATACACTTCTTGGAATTTTATTGTAAAAATTTACACAGAACCCCATAAAGGATTTCTGTACTTTGGACAGACGGAATCGTGGCACAGCCAGCCTATCTTTGCCTCTAGTATTAAAATTATGTCTATCGCTTCTTTTTTCAAATAATTGCAAATTTTTCCTTACGTACATAATATTTTCATATATAAACTGACAAGGTACCGTTAGGATATTTATCGTTTTAAATAGTTCTCTCAGAGATTCACGAGGGGGCAAGTTATATATCGCTCGGATAGCCCGCTTTTGCAAAATAAATATTGAATCTACTTCCGCAGCTCGACCCCACAGCAAAATTCCGTACGACATAATGCTGTGATAATAGCTAAAATAAACAAGCCTTGCTGTGTCACGTCTGTGAGCTGTCTAATCTGTCTAACTGCAAAAACAGCTGAGCTCAGTCTTCCCGAAAGCGTCTTTATGTGGGAACCCCATTGAAGTTTATTGTCTAGCGTAATACCTAGGAACATAGTCTCGTTAACAAATTCTAACTTTTGCTCATTTAAAATTATGTCACAATCATTACTGTGTACGTTGGGCAAGCTAAATTTAATACAGTTGACTAGCTTACAGTTTCATCCTACTCCTATAAATTATTTTGTTTTACTTCCTTGATAACTAACACCAATACTGCTGTTTTAAAACGTTAATATATAATTGATTTATTTAAGGATTAAGGCAGTATGTGCGATCTGGGTGCATGAGCTGCCCGATAAAAGAGGTTATCCAGGGAGTGGAAACCCTGCCTACTCGATTACGAAGGCTTATAAAACTTACACATATTGTGGTTTTCTTGCTGAACAGTGTAAACAAAAGCCGTTTGATAGCGAGCGTGAGTTTATTTTTAACTAATAATCCATAAAATGTTGCCTCATACTGCCTTCTTTATCTATATTTCTTATGAGATAAGGTTGCATACGTGCATACAGATCGTTTGAGGTAAGCAGTTGGCGCTATAAGAGCCTGAAATACCAATTATATAACAATACATTTACAGCCTAATATCGATTGTTTTGTGTGTTTTGATTTTTTATGAGAAGTGTCTTTTGTCCACTGGGTTTAATGTATTTTTTTTGTGAGGTGAAAATCATCAAATGATTTCTCCCGCCCAGGGCCGGGCGGGAGGGAGTGTCAGACTCTTATTGACTAAAAACCCCCCTGTTCCTTCTCCTGCTCTGGGCCGAGGTCGCGGTGCCTCATTGCGCTTACCCCGCAATCCCGGCTGAACATCAGCCCTTTAGGGCCCCGTTTGTGGTGGTCTATTGGCTCTTTGAGGCGCGTGCGGAACGCTACGCGCCGTACGCTCGGGCCTGGCGGCGAGCTGCCCTTACTCGCCGACCGCAGACCCGTGCACTGGGTTTAATGTATGGCTTTAAACTTTGCTTTCACTTTGTAGAGAGTTTCTGGTTCTAGTTCTTATTTTATCGTTCTTTTTTGGAAACTAATTAATTTACCCCGTAGCTTCAATCCACTAGTCTTCAATATATGTATGCGGTCGACCAGAAACAGACCCAAGTGAGCTGTGCATAATGTTCCGCGCGGTGCTCAAGGAGTCAATGGATCACCACAGATGGGGCCCAACATGGCCAATGCTTAGCTAGGGTCGCAGGCCAAGCGCAATAAGGTACCACGGCCTCGGCCGGAGCAGGAGAAGGAATGGGGGGTTTTTAGTCAGTAATAGTCCGACACTCTCCCCATACCCCGGACGAGAGATCATGTGATGATTTTCCTTCCACAAATAGGGGTCGCTTGGAAACTTGTAATGAAAGTTGACTCTATGTTATACAAAATTTTACAGGTATAATGTTATAATAATAGCAATCACTTCTACTAACAATACTTAGAATCGTTTCATAACAATAACACTATTTGTTTAATTGGCAATATGAATGACAATAGCGGCTACATCACGAAGCTATCATTAAGTGTAATTTATAATGTTGCATATATAATAGACACGAATAAGATTAATTCATTCTCTTATTTATACGATACCCACATTCGTCCACATTATGACTGAGCAATCGGAACATAATCCTGCCTCGCCGACATATGTACGGTCGAATTGAGAACCTCTCCTTTTTAGAAGTCGGTTAAAAAATAGGCGATGACGATAGGGACGGAACTAAACGAGCGCAGCAGTCAAAAGATAAACATTTTACAACATTTTGATACGCGAAGTACGTAGTACTGTCTGTCTGTCGGTGTGTGGACCTGTTTAAACTTTTAGCTGTAAAGAAAACTTTCAATATCATAAAAAGTATGTAAGACAAAAGAAACAGCATTTTTAGTGTAATTTGTAAAGAACCTTAGGTGTGTAAAAGATCTATACAATGATTCGACGGAAGTAAGTTGTTCTTACTCCGTGAATGATCCATAATTTCAAAACATACAATCTATACATACTTTTAAATATGATTTTCAGGAATTATGTTTGTCCATCTCGGCAAGTGCATTACTGAGGAAAAATTGGCAAAGCCGTTGTGGGAATCCAAGAACGCAGTCAGCAGAATGCAGTGGTACCTGACTAGCTTTGACTTACAAGAAGACCCATTCAAAACGACGCCGACGTCGACGATGGCAACCACTAAAGTGATCCAATAAAACAGTATAATATCATTGTAGTTGCATGTATTTGTTTTTGGAGTCTGATACTGTAGCCGCCCGACTAGATCCATAAATCGTTAAAATGTTATAAACTAATTAGCATTATTTTATTATTCAATATGACATGCGGTCTTACATTGAGTTATTTAAGTACTATTTTTTTTATTAAATTTCATCATTAAAACATTTATAAAAAAATTATACAGGAGCTAGTGCAAGACATTTGTATAAGTATGCGGAAATAGTCATCACCTAATCTAGTTTTTCATATAAGTCATAGTCTGTCTTGTCGGTAGTAATCGCGAGACTGGCAAGTGCGATTGCAGAGCAAGAGTATCTCAGATCGAATCAAGTTTTGTAAGATATTTCAGGTAAAGTATTTTGACACTACTGTGGACAGGCCATGAACACGAACTACGTGTCCACGTGAAAGTGATTCGTCGAGGTCATGACCCTCAGTATTGAGGACAATCGACCCAAGGCGGATGATTGCGGGACGCATAGGCCAGTTTGATCGGAGTGCTGCAGCCCAAACCGCCTTACGTCCCCAATCACCTACTCTGGTGGTGCGCAGGTTCCTGGGCAGCGCCGAGTTCTTATGAGTTGCTGAATTGTACGAGGACTTTGAGTTACGGAATTGGCTGTTATTGTATAAAGACATCAATTTGTTTTATATTTTCAAAAGTATTATCCGTATATTAGTTACTGTCCTTAGTTAGTTTCAAATCTGTTTGATATGCTGGCGTCTCTGTTGAGGTTAGTTCCTCGGAGCAGCCAACCCTGGCCAGGGCGCGTTGGTTGGCGGCCGAGCGGCTCGTCCTCCGCGGCGGCCGCCTGCAGCAGCAGCATGCGTCGCGGCCGCGAGCTTGTGTTACACGGGCTGCCGTGCACCAGCAGGTACGAGAACACCACCACGTCACCACGCTCGCATACCACTGGTGCCGCTCTTTCAAACGGGAACTTTGTCTGAAAGGAAAGTTAATGACAGCATCAGTTATTGGAATAGCAGACCTCACGCTACATTATCCATCTGCTCTCATTACATACGCATTCAGAACTTTATCGACAAATGATCAAATTTTTCATCAATGTCTTTATCATGCAAAATATCGCTGGTTGGGTATGAGACTTACTAACTGAAAGAAGTTACTAAGGAAATCGGTCGCTCATTACTTGATCTACATAGTGGAAGTTAGACTCTTTGGCGCCGATGTCTTCCTGAGGGCCCAGCTTGTGAGAGCCAGGGTACACGAACAGGCCCCCGTTGTCGGGCCCCGCTGCGTCTAGGTGCAGGAAGGCAGCTATCATGGAGTCGTGCTTGTATGGGAAGTAGTGATAGTCCTGCGGATAATATTAATTGTTTTTAAAGCAGTAAGTAATTACGCAGAGGTTGGGGATAGACTGCTGCTCCTTGTTTTGTGATCATAACTACTACAATAGACAAATTTTAGTAACTTTATTTTTTTTTTATGTAATAGGTCGGCAAACGGGTGGACGGATTACGTGATGGTGAGAAATCAGCGCGGCCCATGGAAACCCACAATGGAGGAGTTACGAGTGCGTTGCCGACCTTTTAGAGATTAAGGTTTTGGAAATTTAGGGATTGGGGTGGGATCGGGAGAGGGGAAGGATTGGGCTTCCGGTAACCTAACTCATGGCGAAACACAACGCTGCGGTTATTTCACGTCGATATTCTGTGAGGTATCACTCCAGTCGAGCCGACCCATTCGAGCCGAAGCTTTTCTCTCCACACTTGATCGTTTTTAATTATAATTATTAAATGATTAAATACTTAAAGAAGATACCTACCTGATGCATAGGATACGCAGCGCCCTTTTCAGGAGGCTTCAAGTGTGCCTTGGTGTGATGCAACACGATGTTGCTGGTCTCCATGATATCTTCCAGCGCATCCAACAGGACCTTGTTGAAGAGGAATGTGTTGAACACTGCATGGTGGTACTGCAGGTTGTGGATCCCTTTCACCTGGAATAAGTCAGCGTCTCAGTGATACAATTGTTGTTCATTAGTCTCGCTACAAGTCGAGAAACGCTAAACCGATTCGCCGACAGTCCAAACACTTTTTTATTTGATAGGGCGGCAAAACACAGGCTTTTCACTTGGCCTTAAGCAACTGTATTTGACTAGGGGATGTGGGGAATTTGGTCATTGGGGATGAAGAAGAGGGAGGATTGGACCTCCGAAATTGTAAATTCATCTTTTTTCCTATGTACACTGTTATATTATAGTGTGTTAGCTTGAACGACAGACATATTGAAGGACCCGATTCTAATGCTCGAATAATACAAACTTTTCCATAAGATCAACATGAAAATCTCGAAAAACTCTCCATGTAAAATGATCAATCAGTTGTTGCGATTTGTATTGAAATATTGGTCCTATAAAAAAATAATCTCTAATATGCCCCTAATTTAATTTAACTCACTGTATAAGTAATATTTTTTTTTATTACCTAAAAGATGTTTAAATTGCTACAAAACTGTCATTTTTAAACTTTGAAATAATAGCTGGTTTTGAGGCGGTATGGTGGTTTGAAGGGTCAGCTAGTAATATTATATTCAACAATAATAGTTTTAAGCCAATACTTCATTTGCTAGATGAAACTATAATCCTATACCTACGTTATTAGTAAGTAGCCCTCAAAAACAAGTGCCTTACAGAATTGAGAGATGTATAACTAAGCAAAAAACAATGTTATGCTAAAAATAATTTGTGCAGCGAAAAGTGGAAGAAAGGTAGGAAGGCCTGTTGTACCCTACAGTGAGATGACACCGGCTAATAATGAGGATGGTGATGATAATGATAAATAATTAGGTTCCACAATATATACATATATCGTACTAGCAACCACTTCCTCTGCTAAGCTCTAAGCCTCTACGGTATAATGTCCAGCAATGAATTAATAGATAAATACAACTGTGGCTTACTAACTTTATGTAGACAAACATATTATAATGCTTGAAGAGTCCACAGGATATCATACCTACACCAAAATAAATAATGTTCCAGTGGATTTTTGCTTGAACAGAATGTCTCAAATGTTGTAAAACTGCATTATATCGTCAAGCTTGATGAAATTGTAAATGCGAGTGTCCAGTTACTGATAACATTTGGTAAGACTAGCAGAACAACGTATACAACAACGATTCGTTGAATATAGGAACCGGGGGTAAGAGTACTGACCGACAGACTGACACTTTATATCTTTAAAATTTATTTAAAATTTAAAATTTAAATAATTTTGACTTTGACTTTGTGGCTAGTGTTGAGCTTAATGACGTTAAATATGAGAGTGTAGGACAAAGCATTGAGTAGGTACTTACCGTTTGTGTTGCATCACTCTTCCTGTCGTTCGCATCACTGCCTACCCAGGAGCTCTCCATCTTGTCCTGATTCTTCCTCGCGAATAACTTGTCATACTCCTCGCTGATAGCATTCAGTTCATTTTCAGGAAGCACTGATTTCAGGACTATGTATCCGTTGTCTTTGTAAAATTGTTTTTGTTCCGGTGTAAGTCGCCCCATTGTGATCTAGCTTCAACGTCTTCCATGTAATGATTGGAATATTTTGTTCGTAAACATTAACTCGATGATAAACCGTACGTATGGACACTTGGGTTATCACTACAACAATATTTTTACGTAACAAACCGCAGTGAGCCTTGAACTTTGAAATAAAACTGTTATTTATAGATATCATGTATGTCATGTTTTGCACTACTATTTAATGTATAAACACCGTCCAGTTGCTTCTTCTGTAATTCTGTTTTGTGGTATCATTTTTTTGACATAGTGGAGAATATTTTTGCAATACAATGTTTTATTTTATCTCTCTATCAGGAAACAAGTTAGTGTCGGCAGAGTGACCGAACTGCGCTTGGCACACGTATGTACATCTTCATGAGTAGATAACAAAGTACAGTACACACCAAATTTTTGATATCCAGAAACCCTACAAAGGTAGTTTGACTTTAACAAGATCACTTTATTTCATTCGAAATGCTGTTTTCTGCTCTAATTAGATTAAATAGATATTCTTCCGAGTCTGTGGCCTACGTGAATAACATCCATTGATACAGTAGTCGAACTTAAACTCTAGTGCAGACTGTATTGTGAAATGTTCTGTTAATGTTGCGCTCTCGTCGGATATCGATGTTTGTTGTCGTTATGTGACATAACTGAAAGGTTCCCTAACATTCTATTGATATGTTAATCAATATTACACACAGTAAGGAATGTTAGATGTGCGACCCCAGGCCACCCTGTGGGTAGCGCTAGACAGAATCAGAATCATTTTATTTGTGAAAAATATGTTTCTACATTTAAAAGATTTTAGATTAGGTACTCAAAGTGCGCTATTAAATATTGAAAAGAAAAGGTAAAAATGATGTTATTTTAACTTTTCTTTAAACGACTAAAATACGAAGAAAACAGAAGTAAAATCTTATACGAGAAAAGAAACCATAAGTATTTAAATTATAATTAAAGCCAAGATACTGTCAGTCACACACACACACAGTCTTAATATGACAAAAACAGTCTTTGAACTTAAATTTAATACATATCATATAAGTATACGTCATACCGCTTAAAATATTTTATAAAATAGATTATCATTTATTAAATTTTCAACAGTAAAGTAAAGTAGAGATTATTTGTCGAATTTAATTAAGGGCTAGCTAGGGCTATTTTTAAATTATCAGGTATTTTTATATAGGTATAATTCGGAGCCACATACCTATATAAAAAAACTCTTTTTCATTAAAGCGGTTCGGCATTTTTTGTCACACAGATTGTTTGTATATTGAGAACGTATTGGAGTTTTTTTAACATCATCGACTCTTTGAAACACATGTCAATTAATTTTGACAAAAATACCGTTTCGTAAGTGCTGGTTGCTGCTGGTGGTAAATGAGGAATGAGGTCACAAGATTCAGTAGTTTTTGAGTTACACATGGACCGTCGATCGATCGTTTTTGAACTTTTAAGATCTGTTCACTTTCACATTACTCCAAAAAATATTTCCCAACCTCTGAACAGATCTAGAACTCAGAACTGATCCGTGACATGAAGATTAATTTATGTATTTTTAGAAAAAATACTTCGATTTGTGTTTTTCACTTTAGCTTACTATCAATCAAAATACATAAAAAAATTGCTTTGTCCATATTTTCTATTTGACAGTTGTCATAATTATATAACATGAACTCGAGGTTTATCATACGTTTACGTACGTGTAAATAAGCTACTCCATTCTTTTATTCAGGCAAATTTATATCTTTCTCGTAATCAACAAAGTTATTACATTTACTTTTATAATGGCTATAATATCATCAAAGAGGACCGATGGTAGTAGGCGAGGAGAAGGTACATCAGTGTATCGGTTGCCCAGTCTTGTTAGTGGTCTTAGTGCGCCCCATCCGTGGTAGTCTGACTGACGGCATGTGCAACAACAGGTCCACCTTCTACTACAGCTTCATATTTAGGGTGGGCCTAGCTTAGTACTCAGAGACCCCGTGGCTGATAGTGCAGTCTTTTTTATCAAAGCCATTACAATTACAATATGTGCTGCTAGTAACTTGAGCTCTCTATATATATTTTTTTTATTTTATAGTTCGGCGAACAAGCGTACGGATTACCTCAGCGCCGCCCATTGACACCCGCAAACACAGAGCAGTTACGAATGCGTTGCCGACCTTTTGGGGATTTGGAGAGGCTCACTTACACGGCGAAACACAACGCTGTGGTTGTTTCACGCCGGTTTTCTGTGAGGCCGTGGTAATCACACCGGTCGAGCCGACCCATTCGTGCCAAAGCATGGCTCTCCCACACTACTTTATTACAAACACATTGCAGTATCGAGCTGTACTCATTGCTCGCCAACGTGTCGACCTATTTCATTCCTAAACATTGGCACCTACAGTAGTACTCGTATTTCTTCAAGTTGTGCAGTTTGGTGAATACACATGTTTACATGTTCAGTGAAGTGCAAAAATCCTGAAATTCTTTGGCAATACTGGAACCCATGTCTTGCGCGAGCTAAAATATTAAAAGTAATGTAGCCAAGCCAGTAACCACGTCGTTTGTTTTGCTACTTTGGGTTTCATTCCAAATACAAGTTGTACAGACACTACGGTGAGTAACTTCGAGGCTTTGCTTTTAAATAAAAGGGAATGATCATATTGAGAAAGTCAGTCAGTTATATATCATCTTCGTCAATAATAGTTAAAAAGGGACAGGATGTGAAGTAAGCATCATACAGGGTGTAAGGGACAGCCCTCCACAAATTAACAGGGTGCATTCAGCTCCTTATTCTGAATCATATTCCAGTGAAAATTCTTTCAGGAAAATTTTCAATTTTTTTTTCGTTTTTTCATTTCCTACACCTCTATTTCAATGTATAATTACATTCTATGTATGAAGAATAACATTAATGTAAATAACACAGCTAAAACAAAAAAATACGCAATGGTTGTGTGAATTCTCTAAAGAACTACGCATGAAATCAGCTGTTCAATTTCTACCTAGCGCGAGTCGTTTGAACTCACCGCACCGCGGTCACGGCGCAGCGGCTCGGATCCCGTCCAACGTACAGAATAGCTGCGTCCCTTTCTATCGCCCCGCCTCCGCGTCTCCCCGTTTCTTTGCACAATGTTTGCCCGATTGAACCAGTGTTGCCAATTTTTAACTTTTGTTACCTCAGGTAGTAAACGAAAATGTTAGAACTAGCGAACTAAATGTTAAAACTTGAGAACTCCTTTGCATTCATAATTACGTTGATGAGATTTTCATTAATCAATTAATGAAAATCTTGTCGCGCACATAAATTGAATAAGAAATAAATAAAGATTAGTCTAGTTTTAATTTTAAAGCATTTACAAATACTACCTAATTTATTAATTGATTGTTCTTTTTAAGCGATTACTGGCTAGTTTTTAAACTACTTACAGATTTTTACATGGCTTCACAATAGCCATGAATTGATAGTCGAGCCAGAAATTAAACACAATCTCCCTGGAATGGAAGCACAGCTTTCTATCACACTGCACTTTTATTATTCTAAATTAACTAAACAATGAAATTAGAATTAAATTGATTTAATCAATTCATTTCTCTAAAAAAAATAACAGAATGATAAATTACGAACATGCATATTTTTTTATTTTTTACCCCGAAATTTTGTAATTTTCGTGTAATTGGCAACAACAGATTTATGTTTGTGTGTGTCTCATCACATGCAGTCGCCATTGTGCCTTGCTGCGATGTTATTGTTTGTGTACCGCGAGCGTGTGTCGGTACGGATCGCTCGCGCATTCGGCTTAAAAGTTTTGTTATAAGTAGTGTTGTTAAGTTTTATTAGTTATGTAGTGTGTGAAGTGTAGTGAAGTTTTGTTGTAGAAATTGTGCGAAATTACTACCTAGGTACGTTTAGCGCGCGTGATTATGGGGAGATGATAATGTGTTGTAGTAGTGTAGGTATCCTGACCGTCGCCATCCATCAGACTCCAGGATAATTACTGGTGACTATCAACGCTTGCTAGAAAACCAGCCCATTGTTCCCAGACAAAAAGGCGCCGGAAGACCAATACCTACGTGGATTTTGGAATTGGTTCGCTAACGTAACGAGATGCTACCACTTACCAGTGCTTTCCTATTTAAACGTAGTTTAGGTAGGTTTGGACCGCAACCGTGGCCAGCACGATCCCCAGACCTAACCCATTTGGACCCCTTTTTGTGGGGTTACGTAAAAGAAGAAGTGTTTGTGAGTGCGTGTGCAAGTGAGTACGAAATGCGAGACCGCATCACAAATGCTTTCCAGAGCCGGAAACCGGAGCGATTCTAAGGTACCTACGCATTTTTCTTTTTTTATCATTTATCAGTTACCATGTTATGATTGTTAGATTTTTTTTGTAAGTAATGCAGCTATCTTTTAAATAATAATTTATTGTTATTAAAACGTGGCGCGAGCGCGATTATTACATTGTCTTTTGTAAGTAATGCGGCTATCTTTTAAATAATAATTTATTGTTATTAAAACGTGGCGCGAGCGCGACCGTTTGTCTGAACGTAAGGTCGCGGCGCTGCCCATAGTGTAAAGTAATAATACTAAAAGCGCTGCCGTTCGCTGCGTGCGTTTGCGGTGGCAGCGATACATTGCGTGTAAGGTAATGAAACAAATCGGTTTAATTGGATTCCCATAACGTTCCTGAAATAATTTCATGTACCGGTCAACTTAAGACGATATACTGAATCCACCCTATCAGTTTGCGGAAGGCTGTCCCTTACCCGGGGCTGCGGGGTAAGCGCAATGAGGCACCGCGACCTCGGCCCAGAGCAGGAGAAGGAACGGGGGGGTTTTTAGTCAGTAAGAGTCTGACACTCTCTCTCGCCTTACCCTGGGCGGGAGAAGTCATTGGATGATTTTCCCCTGACAAAAAAAAAAAAGCGCTAGTTGAATATCCGGCTATTGACGACAACTAACAGGAGGCACGCGATTGTGAGACACGCCGGGATACATGTTCCGGCGTACATACATCTGAATAGGTACTCGTTAGCTGAGATTTTAATAATTATATAGATTTCTATGATTCTGCAACGAAAACAGTTGAAGTAGATAAGTAGCACTACGCTTATACACACAGCCGGCTTCCTGAGCTTCCCTAACTAATGTTTTGACATGCCGAAAATG